TGGCTAACAGTGCCGGCTTCGTTTTCACCCCCACCAGTCGGCAGAGCAGGACCGTCCATGAGTCCCGTATGACGGAAGCAGTTGGCGATTGTGGCACTGGAAATCTCGCTCCACGCAGCCAGCGACCAACGCATGGCCGTGAGCTGATCAACCTTGTAAAGGTTGGTTTCTCCGCGCTCGTCACGGTCCAAGGCATTCTGCAGATGCAGTCGGCGGTAGTGCCTCTTGAATGCGGCAATGATCCCAGCATCCATGGGTTGGACCTTTGAAGTCGTATTAGGAGGAAGAGCCTGACCGTGATGTTGGTGAGTTCCAGGTCAGCAACAATGTGTGAAGGAGCTTGTCCATGAGAAGCAGGATTTTTCTATCCTTTTGCTGTGGTCAACGCGTTAGTCAGACCTCATTTACTGTACCACAACGATGATGTTCAAGGCATGCCCCAAATTACCTTCATACTTTTGTCGACGTCTCCCAGCCATTCCTGGAAGAGTATGCCAGTCATCCAGGCTTTCTTGTTGTTGCGGTAGAGAAAGCCCAGTCGCTCAGCTGTCTTGCGCTCAAAACACCGCGGCTTTTTGGCGTGTCCAATGAAGAACGGCAAGAGTTTGTCGGATCCATCAGCGTTTGCCGTGAGACAACTGTGATGCGCGTCTAGAATAGTTGTTAGTGTCAGAGAAACGCAGGAAACCAAGATGAGAGCAATAATGCACCTTGTTTTTTTAAACCCTTTGACCTCTTGCTGGGCAATCGTTCTGTCGGGAGTCATACTGTAGAACAACCCTGAACAGAAAGTGAGCCTTTGAGATGCTTCTGTACTGTACAATGAGTACAGTACTGTATTGTATTCTCAGACCTACCAGTTTCGTCCATGTTGTACACGTCACGTGGAGTATACCCAGCAACCACGGCCTTGAGGTGTGGAAGACCCTCCTCTAGAGCGCCCATATCTGCTGAGCCACTCTCGCCATGAATGCGGACAGCTCGCAGTTTGTGGCGCTGCCGGAATTTGTGGAGCCACCCATTCGAAAAGCGGATTTTTACCTCCGAGACGCCCATTGATCCCGCAAAAGTCTGAGCCTTGGCCCGTATGAGATCTCCAGTGAGAGCGACCCCACGGTGCTGGCACTGCAAGACCCAGAAGGCGACGGCCTCCTTCACAGCTGGGTGCTGGACAGTCCGAGGACGCTTAGCGCTGAGGTTAGTGGTGTCCATTGCCTCAAGATCCTTCCTTTTTTTGATGAATTTGCTGATCGCTGCCTGGGAAAGTGCCTTCTGGAGGTCAAAGGCGTCCTTTGTCCAAGCCGCCAGGGCATTCTGGGTGATGCGCGGGTTAGCATCCTGGTGCTTGCAGATGCGCAGCTTCTGCTCGTTGGTAAGACGTATCTGCGACATCTGTTGTGAGTGAGCAAGGTACAGTTGGTGGAACTTCTTAACCAGAGATAGCAAAATCACCAGAGACTGGTGGGGCAACCAAAATCACAAAATCGTCAAAGGGCACGTGACACGTGACATACAGGTTTTGGAAGCCTGGAGGTTTGTTGCGTTTTTGATTCTTTAATTAATTAAATTAATAATTTTTCCGCAGCATTCCTCTGCTATGGAATAACCTCTGCTATGTTATAAGATTTGCCTTCCACCAAGTCTATAACTTAGCAGAGGGAAGACTGTAGTTGGGTTTTCTTAATAAACCATATTATGTCTTTAGCTATCTATATTAAACTACAAGCTCCTATGTGGGTTTCTTGCTCACCACCCATTGCGCGCGTCCAGCAGCGATTGGTCGTTAATTTGGTTGATGTACCGTGAGCATCAACCATCAGGTGGAGCAACCCATCAAATAAAATTATTCTCGGGGGTAATATTCCTTCAACCTTACTCCTTACGAGTAATGTCAATTAAACAGTATCTAAGTAGCTAATGTTCAGAATTGATACGAAAATATCAACTTTTATGTAGCGGGCTCACCCCGTTACATACAGCCCTTCTGCTCTTCACGTCGGCGATACCGATCACTTCACGTCCGGACACCCATTCACCACTGCGCCTGCGTCACGCTTCACCGGGTATATCGTCATACACCTGGAATTTCCAGGGCGCAGGAGTAATCGAGAGCAGTCCACTGGAATCTGGGCTCAATCCGACACGGCGAGTCAAGTTGAATCAGCTGGCAGATGGTATACACTGGAGCTGTACGGGACCGTTCCCGGTGCTGGAAGACGACTTCACGGCAGCCAAACAGACACCACGTCCCGATTTACAAACAACGATTTTGGTCTTCGAGGCTCACTCTCTGCTCCACCGATTTCCGTCTGGTAGTCCCTGACACAACGCCGAACTAGTGCGTCATCGCGCGTCTTTAACGACAAGCGTTTGATATCTACAAAAAAGCTAGCTTGTCGTTTAGGAGTTTTTTGATCGGCTAGAAGCACGCGCAAGCACGGATGAATGGCAACGAGCGGTGATCAGCCACACACCTCAGCAAGCCTAGGATCATGGCAATGGCCTGCCTGATTTTCAAGTCTGGACCGGGTACAGGATCGTGACTCGACAACTTAATTTCCATCACGCTGGGAAAAACGGAGACGACGAATGTCGGAAGCGACCGGGCTGTCTGGGAAAAGGAGACTCCGGTTCATTTATTCTCGGAATGCGCCTGTGCTGAAGCTCTATGGGGTAAACCCGTTGGATAATAAACAGTCCAGCGAACATCACGACAGCGAACTCAGCAAATTTTTAAGCGTTTGCAAGCCGACTAGTGTCCCACGTACCACAGCACCGCACAGCAATACTGCAAGACCGCTTTCAGGAGGATCCGGAAATGGCCGACCATCTCTGGAAGAGAATTTGGCACTTTCTTGCGACGATGCGTCTCGCAAGGCTGTGGACCGACCGCAATGACGCCGTCTACAACGCAGCCATAATTGACCTCCCAGGAACAACGCAGAGCTTTTAGTCCGCTTGCGTCTGCCACCTTCGCGCAATCGCGACCAGAGAGCACCGGAAAGAGGCATCAGCCATCATGGGCGCAGTGATGTTATCCAGCATTGAGCCGCTCGAACGCGCACCTGACGGGCTCTCATGCTGGTCAGGGGCTGGCCAAAGCCAACCTCCGGATCAACCGGGGCTGGCCGTTTGGCTCCGCATTTACCAGTTGTACATAGTTAATCCCATGTCAATAGACCATCTGAACACCAAAAAAAAGATCTGCTTCTTCCACTCACGACGGATCACTACATTCCTTTCAATGGACAAAGAACGGCCGATGATCTTTGCCATAACGGTTTTTAATACCCCGATCGTACATATAATATCCCTAACACTTCGAATCCGTCTTCTTCCTAATCACCGACCCAACCAACTCCCGGCAGTAAGACTTCGTCAAAATTCAAGCGATTTCTTTCGCCCATATTCAGTCGTTCGTAGGGCCTTTTGGAACTCTTTTACGAAATCGACCTTGAAACATGCACCACTGGGAATAGCCTATGCGGGTATCTATTATCTCCAACCGTGCTGCGTGATTGCGCATCTTTCGGTCAGTTGAAGTGGTTTATGCCATATATGAGCCAACTTGCGAGCATATACCTCTTTAACTGAATCCAAATACTGCTAGACTTACGATACGAACTTTTGTCCAGCAGATCTCGATCTTGATGAAGACGATCCTCATAATCAGTCGATGGACATGTCGCTTCTGTGCGTTCCAAGCGTGAGAAAGCACATGATGTCGAAATGCGTATGTGAGGTGTGCACTGAAGCCAACGCGAGCTGAAGTGTGGCACGCTATTTGACGTACGAAATGCTACACAAGAGGACAGTCAGCCAATCAACACGCCATCGGACGACAAGTGCAGTCGAGCTCATCACGTCGACGCGCATCACCGTCAGCTCGATCGACGACGCCTTCGCATCCAGGCGTCTCTATTGAAGTCGATTAGATGCCACGGGATTGATATCGATTTGGATGCTCCCTACTCTTGCCTTGAACAATGCAGCTGGTCGATCTGCCATGAGTGATATAAGAGCTGTGCGTGGACGAGAACGTTGGCGAGAAGGCATTGCTTTGGCCAAGTCTGCCGACATGATCTTGATGGGGTTGGACGCCGGTCGAGAGATAACGACCACCGTCGAGAGATTATGTAGTACGAACTATCGGACCTCTTCTTTGGATAACGTGGCACGCGTGTACATTGGTGTACAAACTCCATGAGTATCGTTGCGGCTCAGCTTGACTTCGATGCACTGCTAGCTATAACGTGGAATTGTATGGGGCTGACACGCTTGTGCACCAAACGCCGTGGAGAGGTACGACAAAATGTCCGTCAGTACGTGAACATCGATTCACTAATCTGTGAGCTGTCAATATTCAGGTTTCTCAATTCGGGCAACCAGTTGTTCTTGGCTCGATGTCAGCGTGCGAGTTGCGTGGGTGTCGGCAAGCACTCATGATCTAACATCGGGAACAACTCGACATGTTTTTCATCGCACTGGGGTTGTTGTATGGATTCCGAAAGACGTGCTGGACGACTTTCGGATACGCACCGCATTGGTGTGAGGCCCAAGCACTAAGTACATCCCGCAACCTGTTGGCAGGAGCACCTGCTTTGCAACGAAAGATTTGTTGCAAGTTTGTAGTCAAGACGGCTGGTCAGCAAACGAGTGACGCGAAGTACTACCAAAGGTACTGGTGTACTTGAACAAGCACAAGAAGAAAACGAAAACGAAAGCGCTGGAAACCTAGAGGCAGGAATGGTCTGTCCGGAGACTATCCGTGAAGCCATTTATTCATGGTGGTGTGTCGACGCATCTCTCGAACAGGTTACATGCAACTATTATGCATCTGGCACCAACATTGGTACGATTATCAAGCGGACCTTCTTGCGTCGGAGCTTGTGATGTTGTCGTTGCTGCCGCAGACGACCACACGATGTATAGAGATCGATGGTCTAGTACGGATACAACGCTATGTTAAGATTAGTTTGATCAAGTGCTCCATCCTTCGACTACCAACTGAACGACTCGAACGACTCGCTTGACACGGACAGCGATTGACTCGGCGACCACGAAGGCACCGAATCGCTGTCCAGTAGTCCCCACGTCATTCGTCCCGTGCTGCTGTCCATTGCCGCAGAAGTCGACGCTGGAGTGACCGAGTCCAGGACGCTGTACCTCGCAATATCGGATGCTTTCTGTCGTTGCACAAACTCGAGACACGGTCGACAGAGCCACACTTGTCGTTTCGCAATCATGCTCTTCTTCTTCACCTGTCGTTTCAGCACCTTGAACTCTCGCTCTTCACGACAGTGCGAGCACACGTGGGCGAAGCAGAGTACACATCGTTGCGGGTCGCTACTGCGGCTATGACCAGCTCGGCCACAAGCCTTAAAGCACAGCGAACAACGCACCGACGAGCTCGAGCGCTCATCTACCAGTCGTCCTCGTTGACGACGACGACTGTCCACACGCGCAATGCACCACTGCAACTTTTTGCTCTCTGCCAGCAACGGCGAGCGGAGAAAGCCCAAGAGCGCTTGCCACGTGCCCGCGATCACGAACGAGTCAAACACTTTGCCCAGTGGCTCTAGGTATTGCTGGATGTAGACATCGACGGTGCCGTCTTCGAGTTCTCGGTACAAGCACCCGATCATGAACTTGCCGCGAATCATTGGCTTCGGCAGTGGGCGGCACTGTGGCAACGGCGCCGGTTGCAGGAGGTCGTAGCCAATGCGCTCGCCTTCTGCGGTGGTGACGATCCCGGACGCCGACAGCAGCAAAAAGTCTCGCGGTTTCACGACTTTGCTCACGAGCCACGGCAAGCGGCTGGCCATGTACAAGATGGACAAGTGCTCGAACGGCCGCTCGGCCGTCGCACGACTGAGCTTCGCGAGCATCGCGCCGCTAATGTCCTGGTTGCCCAGCGTCGCGACGCGTAGCTGCAGCGCTTCGAACGTCGGGATCGTCATGCCCAGCATGACCTCGTCCAGTGGCGCGTGGATCGTGCCGACCATGAGGAGCACTGTCGGGTCGTCCCACTGGTCTTCGGGCAAGTGGAGGTCCGTCCGCACCCGTCGCATGCGTTCGGAGTAGAGCGACGCGTGTTCTTCGGTCTTTTGCAGCTTCCAGCGTGCGCTGTCGAGACTCGCGTGGTGGCGTGGGGTGATGCCAGCGAGTCGCTCGTCGTAGCTGTGCAGCGTGCGCTCGAGGAGTTGCAGACTCAAGTCGTGGCAATGCCGTTGCTCGTCGAAGGTCAATTGCAGCGGCGCAAAGGGCGACTGGTCCGGTAGAACGAGGTCGTCTGCCATCGGGGCGGGGTACGTGCTGCCTCGAGATAAGGTGACGTTTGGTGCTGAAGTGCACTTGAGGAACGGCAGCGACTGTATACTTTGGCGTGTCGAGCGTCTGGACGTCTGTCTTGTAGCTGGAGGTATGTATGTGTGTATGTGTGCAGGGGGTACTACATGTGCGATGGGAGAAAGGGACGGGTGGCCGACGGTCCGAGAGATCGCCTTCTGCTCAAAGAGTCTCGTCGTCCTCCTCCTCCTCCTCCCCTCGACCTGATCCTGTGGCCCGGTCGGAGGATTTGCTGCGGTCTGAGGCCAGTTGGCATTGTTGCAAATGCCGGTCAAGCTGCGCGTTGGGATCATTGGCGGGGGCGCGGCGGGCCTCAGTGCGTATCCAAATGCTTCTGTTTCGTATGCTGTCGCCACGTTGACGTGTGTGGTCGGTCCTTGAGGGTGAGGGTGAGGGTGAGGCGTGTGTCTAACGTAACACGACGTGTGCTGGTGTTGCAGTCACGGCCAAGTGCCTGCGCGAAGGGGGGCACAAGGTCACTGTGTTTGAAAAGACGGGTCATGTGGGAGGCCTGTGGAAGTACAGCGCGACGGCGTCGTCCGGGGTGTACAAGTCGCTGCGCACGAACCTACCGACTGCGATCATGCAGCTCAAGGACTTTCCGTTCCAAAAGGGGCTGCCGAGCTTCCCGTCCCATGCCGACGTGCTCCAGTACCTCGAACGTTACTGCAAACACTACCGAGTCGACGATGTCATGCGTCTTCAGTCAACGGTAACGAGTCTTTCGAAAGCGGGACGCCAGTGGACAATTGATGTCACGTCGGAGATGGATGGGGACTACGAAGAAACGTTTGATCGTGTAGTGATTTGCAACGGCCACTTTGCCACGCCCGCGATGGCGGTTATCAAGGGCATGGAGCATTTCAAGGGCGTTGTATCCCACTCGCGATCATACCGCACGCCCGAGTCGTACAAGGGCAAGGCACGTATGAACGTGCGCAGCGATTCGATTGCAGGGGCTGACAAGTTTTTTTTCTCTGTGGTGTGTGCGCGTGTTGCTGCAGCGTGTGGTGCTCATCGGCCGAGGACCGTCGGGGGAGGACATTTCGCTCGAGCTGGTTGAGAATGGGGCTTCGGAGGTTATCGTAGTGGACCCGGAGTATGATCCATGTGCCATCATCGACAGCCAGGACCGGCGTCTGCGGAAACCTGTCATTGAGCGCATTGCCGAAGATGGCTCGGTGATGTTCACGGACGGGTCTTCGATCGCCGCGCCCGATGAGATCATGCACTGCACTGGATATTTGTACACGGCGAAGCAGCTGGTTCCATCTGAACTCCTATTCCCGGACGCCTTTGTCCAGTCTGCTGCTGTGGACAAGGAGCTTGCGCATGATCTGCTTGCGTGCACGACACGTGGAGATGCCGTGGCACCCTTGTATAAGCACGTGTTTGCCATCGAGGACCCCAGTGCCGCCTTTGTTGGGCTTACATTTCACAACCTACCATTCCTCTGTTTCCAGCTGCAAGCTCGCTGGATCGCGCGTGTGTTTGATGGCTCGGTGGCTCTCCCTTCAAAGGATGACATGTACGAAGATTTCTACGCCTATCTGCGCACACTGGAAAAAGGTGCAAGGAAGCTTCACGAGCTAGAAGCTCGCCAAAGGGGGTATTTCACGTACGTCATGATGCTTTGCTGCCAATAGTAGGCTGTGTGCTAACACTGTTTGTGTCGTCTACTGGTCACAGTGAGATGGCTGCTCTATCGGACACGGTGGTGGGAGAAGAGATCTACGAAATGTGTGACGATGCTGGCTTCCTGCGAAAGGAGTTCCCGTACAGCTACCGTGCTGCCGAGTTCGGGCAGGACTCGTCGACAGGAAAGTGGGTTCGCCGTTTCAAGTCGAGTGACTCGTCTCCAGAACGTGTGAAGGAATTCTCGGGCTGATGCCGTCAACCTTTACGCGTAACGCGAAAATAGCACTGGGGTTGAAGCATCGTAAAGTGTTGTGCTCACTGGTTTGACTGTCAAGTTCGTGACTTGGGCTGCTCGGCCATTGCAAAGGCCAAGGATTCTACGACGTGGGCCGTATCTGAACTGGCACTTGCCACTTTCGGTCCACATGCTCAGACTGCCGGCACCTCATGCCAACGTTGCATGCATTCCTTTCGTGCTGCCGCTGAACGATGCCCTCGCCGTGTGGCGTACCGGGACGACAGAACTGTAATCTCAGAGTGTGTCGTCATGACCTGGCTACTGATACTTGTACTGTATACTCCACAAAAGCCTTGACGCTCAGTAGTTGCTTTGCCGTGACGCGTCTCGTTGTCGAAGCGGTCAGGTGGCCTGGTGCTCTCGAGCTCCTAGCATGAGGCGATTGGGGGTTATTGCAGCGACAGCGTAGTCGTTCTATTCCAGGTCTGCTCATCGCCGCCGTCCCCTGCATTTCGGTCAAGACCTGGTCAACATCACCGTTAGCTCGTGTATAAGGCGTCACTGCTGCAGATGCGAATAGACCAACGTAGATTGTAACCTCTGTCGGTGACCATACTTGCAAGATCATTTCGCTAAATTAGTATTCAGGGGTCTTCTTCGTTCGTGCATCACCCATTTCATATAGTGACGATCTGGCCGCCCCAGCGTTTCACCACCGCCTACGTAACCTATTGTTTACCACGTCGCCTTCATGACTCAGCTGCCGTCGCTACAATCGATAATTTAGCCGGGCGTTTCCGTTTACGCTTTTGTGGCGTCTTTTGTAAATCATTCGAAGTTCGTACAACAGTATCATGTTGTCTTCGTGCTAGCAGTTGTGAAGCAATGGCCGCCTGTTTCGTTCGTCGATGCGGCAGCGAGCGCTCGAGTTCTCTGGCAAGACTCTGATCGAAGCGAACCCGGACTCGATGGGCGCGCGTGGGACCAACTGAACATGAGCGCGTGCCGTCAGCAACACCTTGCGGCAGAATGCGGCCTTCACTAGATGCGATCCACTCCACGGTGTCATCAGGACACAATGCAAGTCGTATCAGCAAAAACTTTGCGACCCCAGACGTGTCGTCCGAGTAGACTTCCACGACTTCGCCATGCTTCCAACACCCATTTTTATCAAGTACGTCCACCACGTCTCCCACACCCAGTCGAAGAGCGAATTCCACCGATGCAGCGACCGCAAACGAGCAGCTGTCCAGGACATCATTGCGTACGCAATACGCAATCATATCATGAGGCGTACTCGTTATCCGCGACGCCCAAGGACGACGGCTACCAGGAAGCACAGCAGCGTCGACATCGACGTTGCTCGGAGGACACAACTGCAAGAACAAATCCTCCAGCTCTCGAGCAGTGGCAGCTTCGCCTTCCAAAATTGATGCGCACTGGATACTGCAAGTTGCTCTTTCATACACGAGCTGAGCAGTGCGCCAATTGGAAAAAGATAGCGACACAAGAGTTCTCATCGATGTAGCGATTGCCCGCGAAACTTCATCATCTTCTACACAGTTGCCAAAAGAGGGTAGCTCACCAGAAACGCTACAGTTTGGTATTGTGACGCGATGTTGGTTCCGTGCCACATGCCCACCACCCTTATCGTCTTCATCGTTCAGATCAGCCAGTTCATCTGCTTGCAGACATTGCATCTCGTGCTGCTTTAGCTGATGACGCTCCCTCTCTTCTTTCCAGCGTGCTGGAACTTGTGAACGGTTTACACACGCAGGATGTACGACTGCAAAATCTGGCTCCACTTTTGTTCGCAGCTTCCAAAGGCCCAAAGATGCTGGATGCAACTGGCGGATTGGAAAACTAGGCAGAACTAGGTCATCAGATGCAGTTTCGTCTGCTGTCACCGGCGTATCATTTTCACCCACTTTCCTCGTCGCATTTTCACGGCGTGTCATGAGAGATGACAAAGGTGTGGCCAAGTGCGAATTAAACTGGCACACATTTGCTCGACACGCTAGGCGATCGCTAAACTCTCGAAAGAGGTCGTCGTCGTATCCGTAGACTAGATCACGATGTGATACCAGCAACGATTCTTCTGCGATGTTGGCTCCCTTTCGGTTGCCTTTCATCTTTGCAGGAGTGGTCATATTGACCTCCTTCACAGAACCATCACGCTTCTGCTGCAGCAAAAAGTCTGCTTCCTCCCACACGTCGAGGTATCTACGTCCCCGACCAACGGGAAACTCCACGTGCGCCGTGCATGCACATGAAACATTCGCAGCCATGGTTTCTAATACTGCACGCTCGCCTTCGATCGCCGGCACACCGCGCCATGCTTGTGGGTTTGCAGCTACAAAATCAGCGTTTTCCTGACCCCATCGCAGCAAGTTATCTAGATCGCTCTGTGCAAGATGGTCGAAATAGGGTTCAGTATTCTCCCATTGCCATGGCGTACCTTCTAGGGTGGACGAGTACAAGTGCGATGCGTCTACTGCAGGATATACTGGAGACGCTGATAAATTGCTGTCCGTGTCGAAATCGTTGTCATCTTCATCTACGTCGCCACTTGCTGTGGCAACCGGCTTGCCCTCGAATGCGGATACTGCGGGCACAGCAACTAGCCTTGTTTTCGCTGTTGCTCTACGCTGTGAGGTTAGACAGCTCAGCTTTCTTCGGCTCCGTTTTCTCCGTCCCATCACACGCTTAACAGTCGTTGCTGTTGCTGAATCCCCTACTGCATACGATACCGGTCTCGCCGGAGCACTGTCAGTTGCCTCTGCTGGCATGCCCAGTGTCAGCGAAGTCAACGTAGAGGCACTTGTACCAGCGTGTGGTGAATTCTCCACTGTATAATTTGACTGACGAGGTGATGACTCCACATGCATCGGCTTCACGCTTTCGTCACCCGAAGACGGGTACGACTTGATCGGCACTTTGTTGTTTGCACACACCGTATCTTTTCCAGAGATAGAAACAGCTTGGGAGTAGAGTGGCAATGTTGAAGACGCAGCTTCCTCGCCCGTTAAAACGTCGTCCGTCGTACTTACTCCCTGCACCTTTTCAAGCCCATCCACGCGACAATTGGCACTGCAGTCCGCCTCCTTAGCTGACGGTAAAGAAAGCGTCGGGTCCGGACCATCTGCTAGCTCTGTCATATCCGACATTCCTTCGCCTTCATTTGACATCTCCGTCCACCCGTTTGTCTCGTCTTCCACAAGTCCGTGCTCGCTCCAACCGGCTGCACAACCTGTTGCTTCCTTGTCGCGCATCTGTACGTGATCACAAAGGGCACCTGCAGCTCCATTCAGTTGCCGCTTGCTCCCTGTCTCACTGCTCTCCCTCCATCGACGCTTTCGTTTTCCAGGGGCGCTCGTGCCACCCGACACGTCTCCAGTATCTGGATACCGATCCTCTAATGCCACTTGCTCATCCATTGGACACTCGGGACGCAACTCCGCTCTCGACGCCGACGTCTGCTCTCTCACGCCCATCGACGGCTCCTTCGCGCGGCTCACGACGTCCTCCTGGCTCAGCACGCTGCTCATCGTCCACAGCAGATCCCACGTCAGCACTGCACCGCGTTTCTCCGGTCGCGTACCAATGTCCCTGCACGGCTCGCACGCTCCTCGGCGGTCGCTCGAGACCCTTCAAGGGCGCGTCTCTTTTCTGCTGCGGCGGTCGCTTTTGATCGCCGAAAAAGCATAAACGTTGGACCTCCTGATTGAGGTCACTATTCGCGGGACCATACAACAATCAAGTCAATCGAACGTACGCGTCACTCGCCTGCTTTTTTTCTATCGCTTAGGTACGAATCTACAGCTCGTGCGTATCGTCCGACTTGGCCTTCTTGCCACAAGGCGTCGGACCACCTGGTGCCAAGTCATTGTACGCCCTATCACGCTTCGATGCCATAGCAGTGGCTGGATCCACCATCTCGATAAACTCGTCATCGTCATCGTCGTCATCATCGCCGTCTGCTTTGCCTTGAGTGGAACCAGCTGCCGACTTGAGCGTCTCTTGCTTGGCCTCCTCTGCCTGTAAATCCGCTGCCAACTTGGCAATGTCGCCACCGAGCGCAAACAAATCTGCTGCGTCCTCGCCGAACTCGTCTTGGGCGCAATGCAGCACACGGATATTGCAGCGAAAGTCTTGGGAGAAATCCTCGACGGACACGGTGGTCTCGTGGTGAATACCGTTGCCAGGTAGATCCACAAGCTTCTTCTCCAAGTTGACAGCCAAACTTGCCTCGGCGTCCTCACCTTCCTCGTAGATCGTGTTCGCACCAATCGAGATCGTGGGCTCGTTCATGCCCAGCTTCTTCTTCAGCACTTGGTCGACCAAGTCGCACAGCAGCATGCGCGTCGTGTCTACAGCCAGCTCTACCGTGCGTTTCGAGCACACGTAGCATTGTGGGTTGGGCTTTTCAAGCGCACTGGGCTGGATCAACACACCGCTAGCGTTCCACGACCGGTTGCAGTGCGTATATTTGCACGCTTCTCCCACTGGTTTTTCTCCCTGCAAGATATGGTAAGCTTCAAGCACCTGGAAACCAGCTACGATGGCGTTTGTAGTAGCAATGGCCGGAATAATGTTACCGGCGATGCCTTTGCAACTGTAGAGCGACTCCATTTCAATCGAGAATACGGACGCGCGGAGGTTAGCAGCTGCAGTAACAAACTCCATTGCAGTAGCGTCGTCCTTGTCGAACTCGTAACTGCCCAGGAGAGCACGAGACTGCTCGCTGCCCAGAATACGCGTGATGCACGAAACAAAGCGTGTCACGCACTCTGAGACGCTCCACACGTCGCGGTCACTCCAGACTTTTCCGCCACCTGCCTGTTTGGTAGCTGCCGTCTCGTTCAAGTTGATTGCCTGCACGATATCTGTACCAACAATGTCCTCCAGCACTAGTGGGCATGGACGTTTGGCAGCAGTCTTGTACGTCCTCATCTCGAGCCTCTTCTTGATCTCAAAGTCAAAGAGGCCGCGAAAGACATTGCAGGCATACGCTTGCAGCGTCGCTGCATCTTCGACATTCATGTCTGGCGCGCGCGTGACGAGATCCATGAAGGCCGACTTGTCGTCGTTCGTCGGATCTTCCCACAGCATGGAATCCTCCATCTTGCCAAAAAGCAGCTTGTAGCATTCCTTGGCCCACACGATACAGTGCACCATCTTCTCCGGCGTACTACGAATCGTGCAGATTGGGTACTGCTTCTGCGAGACCTTGGGCGTGCACTCGTAGCACTCCGTCTCGCCCTTTTTGATGACCGACACCTGGCCCAAGTAGCCCGTCGTGCCGCTCTCAATAAGCGGCCTGTCCGTAGCCAAACACAGACGGTTCACGTGCTTCCGGGCGTCCACATTGTCCAGCGCGTTGAACACCAAAGTAAATTGCCGAAAGTACTCGACGCCGAACTCGCTGCTCTTGACGTTGCCATGATGCGCAACGACAGTAGCTCTCGGGTTGAAGCGCATGGCGATCTCTTTGGCCACGAGTGCCTTGGACTGGCCCACGTGGTGCGAGCGAAAGAGGAACTGGCGGTTCAGATTCGACACGTCGATCGTGTCCAAGTCAATGAGGTGGATGTCCACGAAGCCACTCAGTACCAAGTTCTTAAGCAGCTCACAGCCAATGCCTCCAGCGCCCACAACCAGCACCTTGGCACGCTGTACCTTGCTGCGAAGACCCTCTTGCTTTTGGACAGGTGAACACATGACGTCAGAAACGATCGCTACAACACAGTGACAGCCGCCGGGCGTCTGCTGCACCCCCACGCACCATAATCGTCGTCAAGAATCCGGATAATCTGAAATAGCGAGACGCAAGCCCATGTGATTTTTTTTGGCTCACAAAAACCGATTGAGCCATCGAGCTAAAGACCAATCACGGGCGTTGAGTGCGCGGGGTTTCATACCGGTACTGATCAGTACTTGCTGACTTTCCTTTGGCACGGAAGACTGGCGATGAGTTTTGTCGCAGTTCTCGAGCGCACAATCTGAGCGCTGGGAGTCGACAGTCGCACGGATTTCACCCAATCCAGGACCTATATTTTGCAATTCAGAGCCCTCTTGATAGTCATTAAATTCGGATGGGGGTCTAATACAAGGAGGGCTTGATCAGTTGGCATTACAATCGAAGCCTTTTCATACTTACCTTCTCACTTTGCGGCCGAGTGCATGATTCGGTAAGGATGAAGATGTATGTAACGCTGATGAAATGATAGCTTTTCCTAGTCGTGCAGCGGTATATCTCGAGGTAAGAGAGCTTTCACCTGCTGCGCAGTGAAGAGACATGAGGACGAACAGGATACACCCGGGTACAGGAATATGGTCTGAATCCATTGCTACGGTGATCTCATCTCAACTTTGCGTACAAGTCTTGCTTTCTCGTCGTCAGCCGATACATCTCTGACTTTCATGCCGTGTAACGTTGATGCTACAGGTCAATAGTGAGAACAAAAGACCCGTGAAAACTTGGATATCTCAAACCGACGGCTGGTTGCTTTGACCGTGTAAGCACAACTACCATTCGACCACGAAAGCGCACAAGAACATTGATATCATATTGGTCGGTATCGCGGCTCACGTGTCGTTCCGATGCTCATCCGTGATGGCAGAATTGCACTCGTGATGCCAGTTGTACTGGTCAAGCAAGAATTCGAGTATGTAAGGGTATGCGAACAAGGTGGTTTCTACACAACACATTTCTGAAGAAATGACAAGCAGATGTCACGACAGTATCAATTTACTTTATTGTGTGACGAACCGCAGCATGCAGGTGCGATGTTGAACAACCCGGTAATGCCGATCTACTGCCAGCTCGCTCATATCCACAACTTCGGTTTCAACAAGAGCGTTGGCAAGCTCAATTTCACCTCTGGGTACATCTTTATCATCAGCGTCCGACTCCAATGCTTCTGATCCGCATCGTTGATAAAGAGCTTCGTTCGTATCGTGTCGACAACCCGTGCGTGCCACATGCATGGGTCGTCATAATAGCCTTCCGCAGTAATAGAGCCAAAAAAGCTTCAGTTGTGATGTGTATTGTCACACCCTTGTCAGTCATTTACTTGACACTCCGATTGCTAGGTGGATTCGCATGTTTCCCTGGCGTACAGCAATGCGCTCGAGCTCCTCTTGATGTCAATTGCTTGATCGATTGCACTGCTCTCTTGTTACCACTTGCGTCCATTTCAGCATTTAGATCCTATTTAAGATTTTGTAATGTCACGTGGAATTTGAATGCTAGAATGGTATGCAGTACAGCTCTCTTGAGGATGTTTCCACTCTTGTTGTCAATCATTTCCTACTTTCTACACCTATTGACCGAAGCTCTCTTGCCGGTCACAGTCAAATTGTATGTAATGAGTTCGAGGCCGCTACAACTGCACCTGTATGCTACTCAGACCGGGCGCCAGTGTGAATACGCATGTGCATAGTATACATCAGCATAAGACTGACCCTCTGATACGTGAAGAAACTTGCATCCGGTGACATACGCTACATCACGTCGATTCCATCATGATGCGAAACACGTCGTCTAACATGGTCAAGCACAACTATCACACCAAATACAAGACAAGTCAAAAGTGCGTGAATGAGGCTAGCAGTCGTCATCGCGTTCTGCGGTATGCATTACGGGACAATCGGAAGTTCATGCGGCCAATGAGCAGCCCTCCAGAACTGGACCGCTTCGATCGACGACCATGTACTGTCAACTACGATTGACACAGGTTTGTCGTGCTGACAACAAAGCGGCTTTGGAAAGGCTGCGGGGCTATCGCTGCACCATTCCCAGACCGTATTATTCGGTCAGAATTGCTCGACGTACAAAAGTATTCTTCGAGCTCTCCGAAGCTATGCAGTCAAACGATCGATACTTACCGACAAGTTTGGTGGGGCAGCATGCTCAGTTGTTTCGCAAGAAAACGACTCTTGAACACTTCGGACTCTTGCGGTGGTCACGGACACATGCACTGTGTTGCTGCAGAATGTATACATATATTAACGTAGCAATACGCTTTGCGTGCTGAAGACGAAAAAGAGAATGCAATCGCTGCGTACTTGCTGTCATTTGACAAAGGCGGCTTGCAACAAAACCAGATTCAAATGGTAAAAGACTATGCCGATCACTAGACGAGGTAGAAGCGTACTACTGGAAAGAGCATGCCCGTCTCATTGTGAACGCGTGCGATCATCGGTGTCGATTTCGTCACCTTCATTCATCACATCCGTCTTTACAGCAAATCGAACTCGGTTCAGCAAAGCGACGAGCAGTAACAGAGTGTCAAAGAGAAGCCTCGCTAGCACCGACAACAACTACACTGCTCGATAGCTCAGTATGCGAGTTCAAGTCGAGAATAGCGACACAGGTTTCTCTCTGCCTGACGGTCCGCTTCAGTGCGTCACGTTGCATCCCTCGGTCAGAATTACGTACAAGTAAGTCCACACTCCAACGCCGTCGAGTGCTACGTTTCGACGACGAGTTTTTTCTCAAGCAGTTTGTTTTTTTTCTCGACATGCACTATCCCGTGCGTGCAAAAAAAGCAGCCGCACCCGCTGTCTCTGTATCATGTTTTGACACTCGCGACATCACTGGCCCTCTCCTCGATAAAAAAAACCGCACCAACGAAAATACCCGCCCGCTGCCTCGCTGAATACGAATTCGAAATACAACTGCATGGCCCTTGCCGTTACTTGTGTGTAACGGAGTTTCAGCATTTCGTCTCGCGTCCTCCTCGCTTTTGTCTCGTGTCTCTTCTTCGCCTTCTGCTTGTTCATTTTCAGCCACTCACCGCGCTCGAAAGCGCCAGCGTCGCCACTAGATCTCCATACGTTTGGACAGCACAACGGTGGGCTGCCTCCTCCTCCTCCTCCTCCTCCTCCTCTCTCGCTCTCTCTCTCTCTCTCTCGCCGCCCCCTGCACGCGTAAAAGAGCGCGCGCGAGTGCCCTCGGGATCGGACGTAAAACGGCTTTCGACAGCTACCGCTACTGCTGGTGCCACTACTACTTCTACTGCTGCTGCTGCTGCTGCTGTTGTGTCTGCTTGTTCACGCCCAGCGCCAGTAGATCGACGGACGACGACACAGCATGGAGACCAAGCAGGACGCGCTCGTGGACGCGATCCGCGCGATCATTGGACCCACTGACGTCTCGCGCACGCGCATTCTCGCGCTGTTGAAGCAGGCGGGCAACGACCCGAACAAGGCCGTGGACCTCTTTTTCCAGTTGGAGGCAGTGGAGGGCGCGACGGTGGGGGTCAATGACGTGGAAGGTGCGGACGAAGACGACGTTAGCGGTGCAAAGAGCGATCAGGGGAGACCATCAAGGACCGAGGCGCGGCAAAGAGCGGTGGCAAGTGGGGGTAGTGACGCCCGTGCGGCGGGTACAAAGTGGTCATCGAAAGCCGAAGAGCTCAACGGTCTATTGGGCGGAGAAGTCAAGCGAGACGTTATTCTGTCGCTGCTGGGCCGCACGAAGAACAACCTGCAGCAGGCTGTGGAGATTTATTTTGCCGAGAACGAAGCAGAGACTGAGTTTGACGAAGAAAGCGACGACGAGGGTGACGTTAGTCGTGGGGCGGTTGCCACTGCAACTGCTACTGCCAAGACGCCGTTGGTGTCGACGAGTCGTGCAACGGAGACCCGGACGGACTTCTCGTTGGCACCGTCAGCTGCTTTGAGGATTGTCACGCCAACGGCAAGTACGTCAAAGTCTTGTCAGACGCCGTGCCAATCGTCAGCAGCATTGCCACAGACCCCTTCAACGTTGACACCGATCGAATCGCGACAGTTGACGCCACTGTCGCCGCCAGCTTCGAAGGACCGACCGGCTATGGAAGAGGCAAAGCTGCCTGTTGCAATGTCCGAAGAAGAGTCGATTTATGGACCTGGGACATACGAAGCGATCATGTTCAGCAGTGACTTGTGCTGGCAGATCGGCAGCGTATTTGGCCGCGCAGTGGTGCAGCAAGTGCAGCCTGGCGGACCTGCAGCACTAGCTGGTATTCAGAAATCTGACGTACTACTGGCGTTCCGGGACACAGTGCTGAACGAGGGGAATTGCGCTGCTGTTGTTCATCACTTGTCCAACGAGGTAGGCTGCCACCGCTGCTGCTATTTTCCTGTGTTGCTCTTGTACTGACTGGCTCTGTTGTTTGTTTCTTCTTTAGCGCGTGCTTGCTCCTTCTACGCTTCGCTTTCGCCGTGCTTCAGATACTCATATATCTCAGCAGGCTGTTCCGAAGCCCAACGGTGTACCATGTTCTAAACCGGGATTTTCTAGTGATAACTCACCGCAGCGAGACAGTGATGGGGATGTAATAATGGCGCAGGTGAATAATGATGTGGCCACAAATGGTACTGTCGAGCCAAAATACGGCCTGCAGATGCTATGCCGGGCCGTGGAGACCATACAGGATGCCGTTGCGGGGCCTTCACCTTTGGAGTACAAGGCTTTGGTGGACCTGTTGTTGAATTCGGAGTTCAACTTGGACCACGCAGTGAACCTTTATTTGATGGAAGACCGCATCGTCAGCGATTTCCGTGGAATTGTTGGCTCGGACTGGGACCCGGAAAATCCGGCGGCGACGACCATGGGGGCCAGCGAGTCCTATGCTGCATCCATTCCAGCAGGATCACTCGGACTCACGGTCGAGAACATTTTGGAGCGAACAATTGTTGTGGACATCAAATCTGGCGGTGCTGCGGAGCGCGCGAATGTCAAACGCTCTAGCTGGCTCGTCGGTCTGAATGGTCAGCGAGTCACGCATTTGACTCACAAAGAGACGCTTCGTTTGATTGAGACCGCCACGCGTCCACTGCACTTGCAGCTTGTGATTGTTCCGCCAGACGACTACAAAGCTCTCCGAAGACAGCTATCCATGAACATTCGTCAACAGAAAACGGAGCGTCCGATTCCTGAGCAGGACCGAATGTCGTTTCGTGTATTCCAGATCAAGATTCACCAGGGAGTGTTGACTTTTCCCAAGCTTGTAACGAAAGCTTTGTTCCAGTACCTTAGCGCGGAGGAATATCATCCCCCGACAATGGATCCACAGTACCCGAATCCGCTTGATCGATTGCTTCTGCCGGCAAATGAGACTTGGGACGTTGCACTTGTGGAAGACATTGACACGATGGCAGAGGAGCGTTCCGGCGAGATGTGTGCCGAACGCCGGTTTCTGCTGAACCTATTTGCGTCTATCCATGATTATGAGGATAAGGGTGAAAGCACCGTTATCCGGACCATCCAGTTCCTTGGCTGGCTGGCGGTACGCACGGCACGAATGCAGCAGTTTGCGGATGCGAAGGAACCGCAGTCAGCTGATGATGGCGGAGTTTGCAAACGTCATCGTCACGAGCTGCTACTTGCAGTGGTGCTGCACGTACTCGAGAGCTTATCAATTATTGAGAATCACGCTACATGGGACGTCATGGTGAATGCATTGAAGACGTTGATCTTGTCGTTGACGGACGCCGACGTCGACAAGGTGCTGGTACCGATGTTCGCTCGACTCAGCATCAGTTCGAGCCCAACAGCACGCATCGTACCTGTGGCCCTCCTCTCTATGGTCTATCCGCATGTACGGGGAGACGTACGCGTTCAGCTTCGCGGCATGCTTGATCGGATGTGCAATGACGACAATCCGTTAGTTCGTCGCGCTGTAACGTCAGTAATTGGTGACCTGGCGACTGCGGGTGGTTCTTCTGTGGCTAGCTGGACGGTCCAATTACTGGAAAAGTCTACGGCAGATAGCCATGACATTGTTCGTATATTTGCCGTGAAAAGCTGCATCACGCTGGCTGTCATCTTGCGCCGTTTGCTGCACGAAGACAAGAGTGAGCCACACGAAGACGGCGAACAGACACTACGCCTTTTGTATTGTGAAATGGTGCCGATGGTGAACACATATACATCAGACTCGTCTTGGCAGGTACGGCTGGAGACAGCGCGGACATTGCCTGCGTTCTGCAGAGCGTTTGGCTTGGAGTATTCTGACGTTTTTGTCGACCATTTCGTGTCGATTGTAAGCGATCCTACTGTCGAAGTTCGCCTTGCCTGCGCTGAAGGTGTTTTCTTCCTTGGGGAGGCGCTGCGCGACACTGCGTTGGAGCAAACACGTGCATCACAGGCAAAAGACATGGATGAACAGAGCAAGTCAGATGACACGACTTCGGACGTGGACCCTACATTCCTGGCTGCTGCTCAAGTCAAGTTTGTGCGCAGTGTTTTGCCTGCTACGTACACTCTTGCGACCGACGTGTCCGTGGCTGTACGCCTGGCACTGGCTCAGTCTATAGGCCGTTCGTTGCAGTACATTGATAGCAGTCACTATGACGAGCTGTTCCCGTTCTTCACTCAGTTCTTGGATGAAAGCCAAGATGCTATGGTGCGTGCATCGCTGCTGGAGGAGATGGCGCGCTACTGCGACTGCTCGTCAGAAAGCGTCATGGCTATGATTCTTCCGGCTATACAGGCCCTGCGTACCTCAGTACAATGGCGAGTGCGTCTCAAGTTTGTCCATTGTGTGGCCGCGTGGGCCGAGCGTTATGATGGCGCAGCGCTACCTGGTGTCTTTGCTGACGCATGCTTGGAGTTACTGGGCGATGCGGTGTATGAAGTGCGCGCAGTGGTGTGCGAGAAACTTCCTTCGTTGGGGAAGTCATTGGGTAGTGAGTGGGTGGCGGAACGGTGCGTACCGCGCGTGTCAGCGTGCCTCCGGTCGACGTTCCATGGACGGCTCACCGGTTTGATGGCGGTCGAGCTTCTTGCAAGAGAGCTACAGCAGATGGATAAATTAAGCACCGTGATCGCGAATGTGGTGGAGCAGTGCACGTCCAAGACAGCGAACGTCCGGTTCCGCGCACTGCGAACTCTTGGACTCATTGTGCCAAGACTGAACGACCCAAGCACAACAGAAGGTGCTCTAGAGATTGTGCGTCCTCTGGCTATTGCTGAAACAGAGCCTGATCCGGACGTACGCGAGGCTGCTGAAGCAACACAGTCGCTACTGGAGGCCGTGCTAAACTAATAAATTGAATGACCATAAAGCTGAAAACAGGGAGTTCGCGTCGAGAGAGACCCATGCAAACGTTTGGTTTGCCAAAAGTATCGTCGCGCAGACTGTTGCTGGTAGCCACGACTTTGTCAATAGCAGCGGGACGAGTGGATTGCAAGTTGTGCTGACTTTCTGGATGTGGACGCATCCATCGTGGTGTCATCATGCCCTGCAGCAATCGTTCACCAGCACCTGGAGACGAAAAAAATGCCGGATGCTCGATGGCAGACCTCCGGTGTGCTTCCTCCTATCTGCCTGTCGATCAGATCATGGACGTTCTTGCAAACGTAAGTCATGCTGTCATGTGAGTCCATGAGCGTGTCTAAACGACAGTTGCGTCCGTGCGTTGTTCCGTTGCTGCGACTTCATGCGCTGGTCGTTCGTATGAACGGCAAATACCACTCAGCGTGATTGCATTGGGATGGCTAAAGCCATACTGCTTCGTATCGAGTTGTATTGATCTTACGTCGAATGGTGCCTCTGGAACCACAGATGCTTGGATGCATCGTCCAATTGCATTCGGTCGCATGGCTTCCGTTTGAGCAATCCTGCTATGAAGCTCTTGGCACGATCGGAAACCTGAGGGCTCGGCGGAAAATGATAATCGACGAGTTGAATTCGCTTATACATCTCCATTTGATTTACGCAGTAAAACGGCGTCGAACCGACCAGCAGCTCGTAGGTAAGCACACCGAGACTCCAAAAGTCGGTCCGGTAGTCGTAAGGCTCCCCCATCACCATTTCCGGGCTTAGGTAATCTGGAGTCCCGCAGAATGTCCTTCGGAGATTATATGGTGTGGGCGCATGTACTGACCACCCGAAATCAGCAAGCTTGATGGTCTTATTGTATCCTAGCAGTAGATTCTCCGGCTGCAAAACGATCGTGCACACACACAATGAGCGTTGAAAAGGAAACTGCACGTTGTAAATGACGCTACCTTGATATCCCGGTGAATCACGTTGCAGCTGTGGCAGTACTTCAAAGCTTCGACCACTTGAGCCACATAATGTGCAGCTACAGCGTCCGCGAAACACTTTTCTTTCGCCAACTCTTTGTAAAGTTCCCCGTAAGGCGCATACTCGAGCAACATGTACACGCACGAATCGTCGTAGAAGTATCCGTACATACGCAAAATGTTGGGGTGGGACAGTCGCACATGAACCTCGACCTCACGCTTCAAATTACTTGGTCCTCCATCACGTGTCAGTTGTGACCTGAATAGAACCTGTGTGAGCACTGCAGATTAGCAAGCAGTCATTTCGCAAAGGCTGCTGAAGCTACTCTTGCACAACTTACCTTGAGAGCGACAGTAGCGTTCGAGCACTTCTCCTTGGCCAAATACACATTCCCAAACTTGCCTTGACCCAGGTTTCTTGTCACAATAAAATCGTCCATACCCCATTTCGGATTACCTTCCAATCGATCGCTAAGTGGCCGCACGTGCTTCGAGTCGTCGAGTGATGCAAGACCGGATAAACTTCGACGGTAGGCCTTCGAGTCAATGCTGGTCCCCAAATGTACTTGCGCCGAGTCCATTGGAACATGGTCGGAATCGAACAACTTTTGTTCGGACCATGAGCTCTCCATTTTCGTGCGTGCACCTCCATCGTCGTCCTCGATTGCAGCCTTCATTCCCAATACGAGCGAGTGCCGTAGTTCTTCCTTCACTTGCAGTGCGGGATCAGACGACAACTGCTGCATTTCTACACCAGCATCTCGTTTAAACTCGTCCTGTTTTCCACCACCATCCCGAGTCGAATACAGTGCCGTGCCACTACTGCCCAGCGACATCGTCTCGCGCGACGTCGCATGTCCATCATCATCTTCTTCTTCTTCTTCTTCCAGCACTGAATCATCGACCACTGCTAAAAGCTCCGCACCAGTGTCCCTCGTGCTCTGGTGCGCCCGCACATGCACACGTCGCGGTCCCAGCCCGACTTCCCGCGTCTGTTCCTCAGACGAGGCGCCGTCCATCCCGCCGTCGTCGTCGTCGTCGCTCCCATGGTCCACCATCGGCCTCGTCGGCGTCCGCACGCGCTGAGCGCCACCCGCCAACGACGGCGCATTAGCGCTCGGGGAGATGTAACTCCGTCGTCGCCGTCGCTTGGCAACGGTCGAAAAAACGACCGACGACGACCGACCGCTGTCGGCACTGTCGACAGACGCGGCCGACGTCGTGCGGTCCGTCTCTGCGCCCGCGTCGCTCGTCGCTTTGGCCGGCGTCTCGTACCGCCGCTCCGCTCGCTCGTCACGCGTGCGCGCCAGCGAGACGGCCGTTCGTCGGTCGGTCGTCGACGCTCTCTCCCGCATTCCCGAGGCTGTCCGCAGTGGGGCAGCGCTTCGCGCGAACCTGTTCTCAGAAAAAAGACGAGCAGACTCAGATGGCGAATCAGACGCACCCAAAGATGCTATCGGTCAGAGGGACGTACCGGTGCGTGGCGACGCGCCGCACAGCGCCTGCGACCGCAGCAGCAGCGGCGGCGGGCGCGAGCAACTGCCCCTCTTTCTGACGCCGTCGGTCCGCGCGCCACCGCTCGAGCGCCAGGCGCCGACTGTCGGCCATCGATGTGTCTCGTTGGCGGTCACGGAAATGGCTTCGATCTCTCTGAGGAACAGCGCGAAAGACTGTGGCAACGGGTTACGTTTTTTTGATTTCGTTTTGTATTGCAACAGGCGTTTCTAAGCGCTCGGATTGTTTGCGCTTTTAGAAATGCACGTGCGGTGTTAGAGGGCGTCGCAAATGCCTAGAGTTAGAAGGACACAGCATTGGGAGGGCGTACTGTAAATTGCGGTGCGAAAGCAAAGCGCTTTTGTCGTCGATATCAAATTCGCGAGGTCAATCGGGTTCAAAAGAGGCAAGTGAGTCGATGACTGAAAGCGAGTGACAAGACGTGCCCAGCGGAATCCGTCGTTTGAACGCTGTTGCAGTTGCCGTTTGCCCACCTGAACGATGTGTCTCGATACCATGAAGATTCCGACACTTTTTTTATTCCGACAAATATGCCGACAAACAAAGAATGTCGTTTTGATGCGAAGGGTTTACAATTACGGGAGCTATAAAATTGGACGCTAAATGCCTATTCACTGGATTTGGTTTTGGCCTGTGATGGCACTCATAACAGGCCGTGCACCAAGAACAAGTGAGGCTCAATCCTCGCTGAACGGTGCGACAGGAAGAGACGTGACAGTGTACAAGACGCAGCTCTTCCTGTAGTATCTATAGGCGGCTGGGACAACGAGGTGCGACGAAAGGGTAAGTCAAACGGTCTGATGCGGTCATCAAATGTCACGCAATACACGGTCTTCATCTCGTCAAATGTCACCCCGTTCACGATAGTGCCGCCACACGCACGAGTCGCACCATTCCTAGAGGCGCGACTGTAACATCTCGTCGCGGATGGGACGCAAGAACTCGTACAATACGACCTTGTCCGACGAGTGGTTGAGGGGGTCGTGCTGTGCAGACGCGAACAGAGCCTCGTACACGTTGCCGTCATAGCGACCCAGTGTTGAGTTCAGCGTGTGGTCCGAAAAGTTAAAGCCGTCCGCAAGAGTCACGGCGTGCGGACGGATCAACGCGAGCAGCTTCTCGATGTTTGCACGGATACTCGGCATCTCACTGGGGGATACACACCCGCTCTCCATGAACTCGCCAGCAGAAGCTTCCAACTGCGTAAGTGCGAACAGATGGCACAGCAGGCGCAGGATGTTCAAGACCGCAGGCGGAGGGGTGGATTCTGACGAGACGATGGATGGAGCTTCGAGAGCTTCAGCAAATGCCTTCACGACCACCAGACTGCCATAGGAGTCCGTAAGCTTCAAAGTGTCCAGCGAGTTGTTCTGCAAACCGGCGGCGACCGAAGACTCCGTCGAGATCTTCTCCGCGTAAAGCCGGAGCTGAAACAGAAAGCGCTGCTCGAAGGCTGCAACGTAATTGTGAGGTTCGAGCCACTGCTGCATGGTGCGATGTGTAGCATACTGAGGCTTGTCGATGTTTGACAGAAATGCCATCGGTTCCGGCACTACTCCAGTTTTCTTGTACAATGCCAGGATTTTCAGCAGAGCGCGGGCAGTCTACCACGAACAAAGTAACACAGCTTCCGTTGGTCAAGTGTGATCATACCCGAACACGGACTATTGGATAGTACACACACCTGTATAGAAAGTACCAGATTGTCACCTTCCGTCGTGACAGTCTGCAAGATATCTCCCGATACGGTCTAAGCATAGATCACGCAATGAGTTCGTGTGTTGGGTACGTGAAAGAAACGCAGGATAGATGACGACGCACCGGTATGCCTGTATGAAGCACAAAAGAGGTGTAATGAGCACGAAGCATGTTACGATTTCTTCCATCCGTTCACGTGTGCCCTACGACTTACCGCTCGATAGAAGGAAACCGTGACCGCCACAAGCCTGATGGTGGTTATCACACGTCAGTCAGATGTTGCACAAGTTCCAACAAAGAAGTCATGCATTCTGTCGTACCCGACGCGCAGTCTCGATACCGGCAGTGGCGAGATCTGTGGCTCGGACCTTGAGTCCGCAACTCATCACGTGTCCGACAGTAAGCAAGTTGATATTCCCACACTTTATTTGCTCCAACAGAGCAGCAGAAAACTGATCCATGCGGTTTCCTGCAGCCAGTACGCCAAGCAACCCGCATAGTACGTCAGTACTCACCATATTCATCAAGAGTTACACAGCAACGTCTCGACCTGTCAGCAGTATCGCGTATGCTGTAGCGAGAAGCGGGAACAAACGGTATTGCTGCGTCTGGTAGTCCAGTACGCTCAACTCCTCCTTGGAAGACGGATTGTTGGCGTCGTATCCTTGCTGACGAACAGCCGAGTAGCGGATAGCGATGGTGCACGTTTTTGCTAGGCCGATCCCTACTGACCGAATAAACGCGATTCGGGTCTGCAGCATGGTAAAGTATAGCACTTGCTCGGAAACATTCGAGTTCTTCACGTACTTGCCCTCCCGCGTCACTGCAGCAAACCTCATTGCCATGTTCTGTCGTGGTAGACGAACTCGATGGAAGCTGCAATACCCGTTGTCCACGTTATTGAATCCAATCTTTGGGCCAACGTCGCCGAGCGTCACACCCGGCATCGCGTCGTGCGTCTCCAAGTCACGCAGTTGCACCATAAAGCTGTGAACGCCATAGTCCTTCCCACACAGCAGCAGTCTCGCGTACACGACACCAAAGTTGGCCGTCCGGGCCAACGCACCGGGCCACCACTTCATGGACGTCAGCGTAGGCGAGTGGATCTCAAACTCGTCCGTGGCACGAATGTACGTGGCCGTAGTCTCCAGTCCGCGCACATTGGATCCGTGACCCAACTCGGTCTGTGCGTAGCACCCAATCATCCGCCACTGCTTGGCCATGTCCATCCACTGCGTCTGCTGCTCGTCCGTGAACAGCAGTCCCAAGTTCTTGACAAACATGAGCGTGTGCAGTAGCGTGGCCGCCGAGCAGCTCGTGATGCTCTGGAAAATAGTCCGCAGGTGCTCCGTATCCGCTTCGCTCAGGCGGTTTCGGCGTGCAATGATCTCGACGCGGGCGGCCATCTGCAGCGCCCGTTTGTACTGCTCGGCGCGCGTCTGGTAGTTCATCGTCTCGTGGTGGAACACCGGGTCGCGCACCAGCAGCTGCTCCAGGCGCTCGCTCTTCTCGACCAGCGCCTTGCTCTTGTGCAGCACGTACGCCAGCTCACGCGCAGACAGGGACGGGCTGCCCTTGCGCTCTGCTTCCAGTCGCGTCGACATGATGCGGCGGTCTGCCTGGACACACGAGTCCCAGAGGATATTAAGAAGCAGGTGGGACAAGATGTGCGACGTGTGAGAAAGCCTGAAGTAGCACGAACGTTGCAGTGGTGGTTTGAGTGGCGTCGTCACGTTGAAGTTCGTCGTGCGAGAAGTAGGACAGGAGTTACTATTTTTGTGGGCTTTTGATTGCTGGCGACTTGATCATATTTTTTCAAGTTAAAAGAAAGGCATGTAAACGATGCGTACGAATGACGTCAGCGTGTACCGTTGTTAAAGTCAGCGCGACTATATGTTCATTGTGCATAGGTCCAGCAGACCATTGCTCGCCAGCTTGCGTGTTGTGAAAAGTCAAAGTCAAACGAGTTCGATCGACTGCGCCGTCACTTGATGTCCATGGCAAGTCATCGACTGCAGCAGCTTCTAGCAAGTCCCGTATGTGCGCAGTCAAACAGTCTCAACCGTCTCTTGTAATCGTGGATCACGTATACACGAGGCAGTGAGCTATATGCACAGGCCAGTCCGCTTTTGTTGTCGCCATCGATTGCTACACTCTCGGTATCACCACAGCTAGCAGTGCTACACCCACGATGCATCGATGTCGGAACGGAGACATCACTGCCGGGTTCACATGTCACCAATGCCGTCGCATGCACCACGACCTACTGAAGTCAACCAGCGAGGCAAGGTTGGCTTGAGCAAACACGACATGTCGAGACACAGATCCAATGCCGACGGCAATAGATGACCTGCAGTTGCGAAAGAACGAGGCCGTCGCCACATCCTGATTACGCTCGGCTGTTTCTGATGCTCGTGAGTCACAAGACATCACGCACCTGCCGCCTTGCAACTTCTACAGCGCCTGTCCAGGATTTGCTTGGCCCCTTATATCCGTCCGAAGACGCTGGCTTTTGCTTGGTGACCACAACGTTCGATACTGGCATCGCACAAGTCTCGAACCGAGTTCATCACCGTCTTCGGGCTGCCACTCCTTGTCAAGTAGCCGTTTACGACTCTTTGGTCCGGCTGACTCCTCCTACCCTATATGACCAACATTCAGCTCTCGTGGAAGACCAACTTTCCATTGCTCTCTCTCCAAGCAACCGCAACTTGACATCCAGTACTTGATGCGAGCAGCTTCGCACTATTCGAGTAAGCATCCCACACTTCCAGCTGCACAATCTCCGTCCGCAGCCCTGGTCCAGCACCTGTTTCCTCCTTGTTTACATTGCAATGTCTCGAATTTTGACAGTGGGCTTGTCCTCACACGGTGAGTGCAACTGCTAGTGGAGTAAGGAGGACCTCCAAAGTAAGGTACCGCAACACTCTTCACTTGCAAAGCGGTCTGTCGGGCACACTACATCTACGCCTTATTGGTCAGTGATAGTCCTCTTGAACGCACGACACCGATACAGTCAAAGTAATGCTCCAGAACATTCACATCGGAGAACCGTAAACCGGAAAAGCACGAGCGTTTGTTGCGGACATCTCCAAGTGCTGTTCCTGGAGTGAGTCTGGCATCTCATGTACCAAACGCAGCTGATCAGTTAAGCTCCAAAAAGCACAGGTTAACTTTCAACATGCTCCTCGCCTGAACCCACGCGCGCAGACACCTTGAGTACTTGGTACCTACGAGCGCAGCTTCAGTGTACATATTGTCGTTGGATGGCAAAAATATCAGTCAAGCCATAGTCATTTCTTCGTGTGGAGAGGGCGCGAATCCGATATTGGACAACTCATTCACGAGTAACGCGACTTCGTATTGCGACATGCGCATCGTAACACGAAGTCAATGCCGGATTTGTGCGAGATAGTTTGACTTGCACAGCGTAGTAAAGGAACGCACGGCGCACGATCGACACTGCTGGGTTCCTCCTCCAGTACATCCAGCAGATCATGTTGCCAACTACAATATATGAGCCCCTTGTCCGGTGAACAGTTGCTTCAACAAAACGGTGTTGCGGTGCTTGAGCGTATGCTGCACTTCACTTCACGAAGCATTGTGTCTGAGCCAGGTAAGCCTTGTTTCGAGCTACAATGAGCCACAGTCTTGCTGACCTCCATATCGTCACACTTGGCACCACCACATATACGCGCCTTTTTCAGTCATGCCAACCCTTCGTTCGTATCAGCCCCGCTAGTCAGTTTAGTGTGAGCCAATACTCAACGACGAGGAAGCAAGCTGCGGACTACAACACTATCCAACAGCACTACTTCGATACCTGGACACCCACGGCTTATAGACCGATGCTGTTGAATGAGGTCTCGACCGTCGCGGTCTTCACACACAGCTACTGATCGTTCGCATCAGATCCAGCCTTTGCTACCCAACGGCGCTGTATGCCGAGCGCTATGTCTGGTCTGTGGCACGCACAGCTCACACATGTGACAGCTATCCTCTTGCGCCGTGCGTATGACCGAGTGCTAAGATCATGGATCTCGTCTCAGCGCCGTCGAAGCTCTTCCGTCTCTTCAGATTTCGCTGCAATGAGCTCTTGCTTCGCCGTTTCTCTGTAGTTCTCGGCTAGTTGTCCGACCTTCACCGTCCGACGACGTCGAGCTGCGATTCGCGTCGCTCGACATCTGCCGCTTCCGGCACGCGTATTCATCAAAATGCTTCCACACATGATCATACATGCTGCTGTATGGATCTTCTCCCTCCTTACAGTGTGGCGGCTGAAGCACTGGAGGAGGTCTCGGAGCTGGCAACGAGTCTTTCGGCGTGCCCATACTTTTTTGTTCATGATGTTGCACGACCTTCGCTAGCTGCGACATCGTCGCATTTGCTTTGACTTTGCTGTCAAGTCCACCGACTGAAGCCTCCACATGATGTCCATCCATACACTTTGCTGCATAGTGGAGTTTATACGAGGGGTTGCCGTGCACAGCATTTGCTTTTACAGACATGCGAATCCGAGGAGTCCCTCTCGCTTCCACCACTGCAGGGTCCTGACAACTCTCGAATCGAGTGCTCATCTCTCCGCGATGCTGGTCGTCTACTTTTTCAACACTCGACCGGCAGCTTGCGTCGTCTGTCATCAGTGACGGAGGAATGGCGATCGCACTTCGAATCCATGCAAGCAAGTCGCGATTGTGATCCTTAACATCGAAGTCTTGCGGTTGCAGAGACACAAACTCGTGTAAAACCAATGCTGCTAGCTTGTCCACAAGCATGGCTTCCTTATCCACAAGCGTCACAACTGAGTCTGCCGTTTTTGAGCACGAACACGGGTGCTGGCGCTGAAAAAGCTGCCAGTTGAAGCCATGAAGTATTTCCTGCGTGAATGCCTGCACGCTCGCTTTCGATGGAAGACACAGTGACTGTTGATGTAGCACATGATCTTCTACGAGCTGTGCCATATACTCCTCGATAACGATGCCCACAGCAACTGCTGCAGAGTCGTCAAAGGTCCCAACGAGCTCTCCGACATTCGATGCCTTGATGCTTGCCATATACACCACATAGTCGACCAAATCCTGTCACGTGCAACAAAGTCGTTATAAAGCAACATTTGGTAGTATCATAAAGAGTGCATCGTTTACGTACGTCAGGTGGCATTGCAGCGTCTCGGGCTGTACAGAAACAGCGTCAGACATTCCATTAGCACTTATTCCTTGCCGCCACGTGGGCTACTGTCACATACATGACAAACGCGTAGGCTACTTACCAAGCTCAAACGCATAGTTCTCTAGCCCACGGCATATTTCTTCCTGCATCGCGTCACTCGAAAACTGTCACAGCCATGCGACAGTGTTAATCTTTTACTTGCCATCAGCTATAGAAGCATACATCCACGACAAATACGTACTGCAGCAGGCGCCGACCGACACCTGATTCGGCCATTTCGAGGCTCCATACTCTCGAGTAGTGAGCATCCTTCTGATCGAAACAAAGGGTGATACGACGCCGGATGATGCTCGGCACCAAGCATTCTCGCGGTCATCGTACGCGGAATGACCCCGTTGATAGTAGGTGGGAGCACTTCTGAACCAAGACCATCGTCCACTCCGTCGTCATAATCGCTTTCCAATCCTTCATTACCGAGAAAAGTCATGACCTTCTTACTGCGATAGACATTTTCGCTTGACGAGAACCCGGCGGCTCTCTTTATGCGCCGTACACGCTCAATTTCCTTTCGCGCTTTTTCTTCCTTCGCTTTCGTAACAGCAGCTCCCCCGTGCCGATGTGCAAGCAGAAAGCAACTACACACTGCCTTCTCTTCTTCATTCGTCAGCATTACGCCAAGTCCTGGGTGCCTTTTGATCCACAACAACCGCTGATGCAAGACACATCGACAATGACTAAGTCCGTGTGTTTGCCGGCAGCCATAACACAGCTCGCAGCGATTCGTTGGGTCGATCAGCGTGCAACTACAGGCTCGCGATTCTCGACACAAAGCACGACGCCGACGTCCCGTCAACCCGCAAACACAGTGGAGCTCAACACATCTGCTGCAGGAAGCACAAGCTTCAGAGCTGGAGCAGGCGCAATGAGGGTGCGATAATGGCTCAGGTTTGCGACCGATAGGAGCATTTGGTCGAACGAAACCAATCCTTTGCAGCTCGATATCGTTCTTCTTGATGTGCCTCGCCAAAAAAGCCATGCGATCTTTGCCTGGTCTTCTTGCAAGAAACTCTTCCCGATTCATGCCACGAGGCCAGACGAAATTCGTCAGCGCTAACTTCTGCGACGCCCCTGGCTTCACCTCAAGTTGCTGGCTCTTCCTGTACCTGTTCACAGACTCTTGACGCTCCTTTTCGATATCCAAACGTTGACAATCCGTTGTGTTATCAACGCATTGGGGCTGCAGTCGTTTGCGTTTCTTTGATGGACCATAAGAGATATCGGTCGTCGTCGTTGCTGGCAACTTGCTCGCAGTCAAAGACTCGTTTGCATTGACCGAGAGCCAGGGCCGAGCACCAATCGTAGCAGAAGAAATAGTCTCAGTAACTTGCTGCAGCTTCACAGCGCCGCAACGCTTCATCAGGCGCTTTAAATACGCCTGGCGTTGTTTGCCAGGCTTCAGGGCACGGAGCAGCTTATAGTTTATGCCCTTTGGCAGCCCATTCTGTGGTGTGTTGCGCGTCACGCTCGGCTTGGATCGCGCGGTTGCGCTTGGCGGTTTTCGAGCGGCTGTCGTCCGGTCATTGGACGCTAACGGAACCGGCGTTGTCAGTCCGCGAGCATGCGCCGTCGGCGGCGTCGCACCCATTTAATTTGTTGTCAAGTCCTCGACCAGAACGTGATGTGGAGCACACCACACGACGAGCGCTGCGTGCCGGGCACGAGCACAATGACGTGTACCACGTCATTTGCGGGACTTCACGCTTTCGGACTGAAGTAAGCTTTGCATTGCGATGGAGAACGTCAAGCGGGGAAAACTCAAGCTCAAGCACAGCAGTAAGCTCAAGGTGGCGTCGAAGCCGCACAAGAAGCACAAGATGAAAAAGACAGTACAGCATGGAGAGACGGAAGAGGAGAAGCTCCATGAGCGAGAAGAGGCGGGCGACGCCGTAGAAGCGGACGTGGACGACAGGACGCCGGCACAGCGTCGCCACGCTGAGCACCAGAAGAAACGAGTGCGTCTGTCTGAAGTAGTGCACACGTACATTAGGGGTTACAAAAGGATCTCATGTGGCTCTGATGTTTGTGTAGGAGCAAGAAGAGATTGCCAAACTGGCGTCCAAGACGTACAGAGAGCGCATCGAAGAGCTCAATCAGCATCTCGGCAGTCTTACCGAACACCACGACGTGCCTCGGGTGCGTTGTTTCGCCAACAGATGCTTCATCATGTGTGTGTGGGTGTAGACTGCTAAACATGTTGTTTTGTTGCTGACATGGGACAGGTCTCAGCTGCTGGCAATGGTTGAGTTGTCGCGTTCATTCCTAGCGGTAGGGTATGGTGCATTTATAGTGGAATCAGAGCATGTGCTTCTTTGCACGCGACAAACTTCGTGTTGTTGTCCAGCTAGAAAGCTCAATGTAAGTTGCTACCATCGGATCACCGAGCCCACACTTTTGCTGCGCGTTGTTCTATCGGCTGCAACTATTCGTCATCGTCATCGTCCGATGTCAGCGCGCTGTATGCGGTGCACTGCTGATTCTTCGACCAATTGCGATGCCGTTGGTCACCGCAGGAAAAGTATAACTCGCACAGGTGAGTACTCGTACTGTGGCAACCCATTGGAGACGCTTTTTTGCAGCGAATCTCCTGCACTAGGCCACCCAACTTGTCGACCCGCGGAACGATATCCTTCGCGGGTTTCATCGTCAAAACGTAGTCACGAACGTCTCGTGAGGTGATGTCAAAGCGTCCCAGCGAATAGAGCAAGCCAGGCCCTGAAAATGACACGGCGCTCGATTTGGTCTTGGCGCCGATCATAGCAGCAATTGCCCCGCCAAGACTATGTCCCGTTATCACAAGATTTTCTCCCACACGAGCACGTGTGTCAACGGCATGATTCAACACGTCCGTATACACGGGCGACGGCATCACACTCGAGACGGGGCGCATGGACAACATTTGTACCACAAAAGCGCGAGGCAATTGCTTCAGGAATGGCACAAAAATGTTTGCCGCCTGCATGATGCAGATGCCAAACCAAAAGTGCATGTCTTCGAGAGCCTCCGTCGCGGAAGCAGTGCCTCGTACTGCGATGACTGTCATGTTGGCTGCTGGGAAGTAAATCTCCATCCAAGTCTGCCCGTCTGTGCTTTCGTTGTTTCGTGCAACGTGCTTCCAGTCATCCAGTTCTGTTCCATTGAAGCGATTGTCGAGTGCAGATTTCTGAATATCCGTGGTGGAGCCATACGCGGCGTCGGCTATTAACGCCAAATCAAGCACTGAAAGCCCGTGGTAGCTGATGCTACAAGCCGCGTATTGAGATGTGGCATCGAAGCTGATCACTTTCCCGTTAACGGTAACGGAAGCTGATATGCTGTGGGTAGCTTTGAGCTCGCTTGATACTTGCTCCGTAGAATTGTCAAACGGTCCTAGCATGAATACGTCACCGGATACGAAAGTACCGATGACGAAAGAAGACGAAAAGAAAATGAGTGAGACGACCACGAAAGCCGAAATGAACTTCCGAAACGCTTGACCAAAAATTTGTGGAAATCGTCTTTGCACGACAGAGCTCAGGGCGATGAGGCACACACCCATTATTGGCCATCCAACAAAGAAGGATTTCAGTGAAACCAAAGCCGAACCGATCACAAGCACCAGCAACAGCACCGCGCGGACGTTCAGAGACAAATGGTGCCACGGATTGCGCACGCGTGTCCATTCTTGAAACTCTTGCATCCGCTGGAGACGCGAGGCATACACAGACGTAGGGCGAATTTGTTCAGCGCTTGCATCAGATTCCACACCAGCTTCTACTCCAGTGCTTGCCGACATTTGGTCAGAACGTCTAGATGCTGCGATTGAAATCGCGACCCCATCGTCTAGTATGTTGCTCTGCTGCTTCTTGTCACGCGTTGCTCTGTTGAAACAAAGCCAACGCGTAGGATGCAGAACAACCCCCACGTGATGCGCGAAGCGAAACCCTACGTCCAACAACCACAAGTGCTCGGCGCGCTCTTTCTCTTCGAGTGCGCAAACCGCTCGACGCAGTATGCGCCTTCGACGACGATAATTGCTTACCATCGTACGCATTTTACCATTGCGGCTGCTCCAAAAATGCGCTATCATCCACAACACCAGGTAAGCACCCACGCACCAGAAGCCTGTCTGGACATAGGCTAAAAATGCGTCTGGCACTGACCAGGTCGCTACGAACTTGACAACCATCGAAGCAGCCGTCAGCACCTCGAAAAAAACGGGGCACACAATATCCACGGCAACAAAAGTCGACAGATCGATAGCCGGCCCTTCCTCCTTAACCTGTCTGATAAGCAGCGTTGTCTTCACGGCTGCTTGAATCCGCTTCCACCGTTTCATTGCATTCTTTTTTGGCGAGTCCTCAACGACGGAAGACAGCGTCGCTACGCAGGCCGCTGTCGCCTCCGCTGTGGTCGATTGCTTTGCCTCATCTACCTCCGTGCTGTCCCAAAGCCCATCCTCTTCGTTCTCTTCCGTGCTTTCCCGTACCCCAACCTGTTCTTCTTCGTAGTCTTCCGAGAACGGGTCGGTTTTCGCCGTCAGTAACAATGAACTTCTCGTCCTGCATTTCGCCGCTGGAGTCTGACTTCTCGGCAGACTGTCACCCACTAGTAACGTCCTTTCACCACGGGCTGCGTCGTTCATCTTTTCAAGCTCGTTAAGCGCTCTTCTGTGGCGAAGGTAGTGGACAACAACAGCCAGCGCCAATCGAAAGTTTGGCAGCGAGCCATCCGATTTGTCCAGTGCATCCAGAAAAAATCTCGACGCCTCTTCAAAAATGTAAGAGAGGAAGAACAGCACCACCGGCAAGAGCACCAGAAACACTACTGCGCGCAATGTGTAGTACGCATTGTACTTGGCACTTGGCAGGAAGATTGAAAAGAAAATCTCCATCAACAGCGTGAACGACACCATGAGCACTACCATGACCACGAGGAACGACAGGTAACCAAAACGGACTTGGCAGAGCGTGCGGTACAAGCGCCAATGACCAGACGACTGACTGTAAGCTCGCAGCTCCTCTTTTCTCCCTTCGGACGTCGCCAAGATGAGGTCATTCTGCTTGAAAGCGTTCTCGAGACCGTCGGAGGATCCAATCGCAGCGGCATCCCACTGCATGACGTTACAGTGAAGCGACGGATGATCCACGTCCAGTACAGCCTCTCGTTCACCTCGTGTAGATTGCGCTCGACTTGCCAAGGACGCGAATGCGCCGTCCAGCGCTACGGCAGGAGATGCGTGTGCATTGTCTTGAGGGGCCGTTGATCAATCTCATTGTGCAGTGTGACAATCGATCCAGGCGGTCACTGTCGCCATGAGGTGATCCCTCGAGATAAGAACTGTGCGCTTGACAAACCCCTCAAACTTCCACATGACCAATTCGATCGCACCACCTCATCGTCATGACCGTCGGAACCGGCAGCGGCAAACCAGTGTACGTGCAGCTCCCGGAGCTGGGCGGCCACTCGCGTAAGGCGTACGCGCTGGGCTTCAACTGCGACGGGTCCATGCTGGCCTCGGGCTCGAACGACCGCAGCATCCGTATCTGGAACCCCACGACGGTACGTGTCGATCTCGACTCTCGTCGCCCGTTGTGAGCTGTTTATGCACGTGGTAACCTATGGAACGACAGGAGCGAGAGCTGATGGAGCTGCGGGGCCACTCGGAAGCGATTCTGTCGCTCGCGTGGGACCCCACGGTGCCTCATAATCTAGCAAGCACGGGCGCAGACAAGACGGTGCGCTTCTGGGACACCAAGACCGGCCGCATGGTTGCTAGCGCCTCGCTGCCCAGCGACGCTGTGAACATTGCGTATCGTCACGACGCCAAGTACGTTGTGGTGGGTAACCTCGACTGCATCACGCTCATTGACTCGCGCAAGGCGCGTGTCGTGCGGCGCGTTGTGAATCCGTTCGAGTCGTACGAGATGCAGTTCAGCAAGACTGGGTTCCTGTTCGTGGCAGCTGGTCATGCTGCTGGGTTTGGCACGTTTGAAATCATGCGGGTGGTGGCTGAGAAGAAGGGGAATCCGAATTTGGAAAGCGCGCACAAGGTGACACGGTCGCTGCTGCTGCTGCTGCTGCTGCTTGGAGTGCGTCGACGGACATGTGTTTGGTTGTTGAGACTGCGTTTGTTGGCATCTGGACCTGTGTAGGTTACTGCACACGCCGGAAGCTGCGTTTGCTTGGACCTTCATCCATCGGGGAGGTACGATTGCGTGAGTGGCATCTTTTGTGCGTCGATACTTGCTGACGACGAGTTTATGTCGATGCAGATACTTGGTGCTGGGTGGACTGGATTCGCTCGTGAGCCTTTGGGACTTGGAAGAGCTGTACTGCGCGAAAACGTTCGTAGTGACAACGTACGTAACTGTATCAAACGCCATGCTGCGCAACCGACTGGATTACTAACAGTCGATCGCGCGGGATGTGGGAACGACAGATCAAGTATCCGCTTTGTTCGCTTCAGCTACGACGGCAAGTTTCTCGCCATCGGCATGGAAGACCCCAATTTGATCGTCGTGGACGTGGAAAGTGGCGAGGAAGTCGTTAATTTGCAACTTCAGAACAACTTGCAGTACTTGAGTTGGCATCCCAGCAAAAACCTGCTGGCCTACGTTGGTGACAAGGCTTCAAGTGAGAAGAACTCCAATCGCGACGGTGTCATCAAAATGATAGAGCTAAAGGGATAGTCCAAAACGACTTGGCAGGGCGTCAGCGTACGGGAGTAGTTGCAGCAGCTACATCGACAGCACAAAAATGTACTGTGTCCGAGGGCGGCACCACCACACGGACTCTGTCTGGTGCAGCCGACGGACATTATCCATCTTTTGTTAGCAAGCGCAGACACAGCTCCCACACAGCAAATGCATCAGTCCAGGGAGTGACTTCACTACACCTCCTGACCCAGTCGATAAGCTTCATCGCAGGCTCGCCCTACCTCTTCTACTCTGTCGCTGACTTGCGAGGTGGCGAGCTAGACACACGAAAGTCCTTGCTGGGAGATTGTCGACTGACAAGGTGAAGTGCGAGTGAATAGTAATGCACACAGTCACTGCTTCCAGGACGGTCTGGTTGGCCGGTCGGCACCCTTTGGGTGTCGGCAGTACAGTTCTGGACTGCGTGTGTAAGTGAATCACCCAGCAATGAGGCTCGTGCTAATTGAGCAGCTCCATTCGATGAGTCACCCACATGCACGTGAGTCACGAACGTGCCCACATCATTGACGTGTTCCAGGACACGCATGGTCTTGCACAATCCGATACAGATTGTCGCCACAGCATTAGTCGATGAAAAGCTCAATTGCTGCACCCTATAGACAAAGAGCACAACATACCACAATATGTGAGGTTTCGTATTTAGCATAGTAGCATCTGATACGCTTCCTAGACATCCAGAAGACGTTTGTTACTGCTTTTATGTCCTACACCAAGAAGCGGGTGGTGATCTCAGACGCAATTCATTTAACCATCAAAAAGTCGCAGGTGTTTGGTTAGACATGACCTGGAGTTCCACAATATTGTCAGACGCAATGCGAATTCAGCCAGATCAGTGTCGATGCATACGAGACACACAGCTGTATCGATGCGCTCCACTTTTCCTTACGAAACGTACCGCGTAGGTGCTTTCGATTTGGAGCTAACGGTATCTCGCAGCCACGTCGAGGTATTCGGCGTGCAAATTAATACAAGAACGATGTCGCTGAACAAAAAACAGATCGTGGCAGCGACAGCTCGTTACGAACGACTGTGTTTGACAGGTTTTTATGTTTCCATAGTCAAGGGCTATATAATGTGACGATATCACCTGATTGGCGGATTGTATGACAGATTGCCATGTGGGACTGGGAAGAGACGATTGGCGAAGGGACTGGGAGAGACAGGGCGTGACAGGTGAAGCGGAGAGGTGACAACTTGACCTTTGAGACAGTACGATACGGTTGCATATGTAAAGGCGTATGGGATGAGAATGAAGACGGATGCCATCTGTATACGGTCAAGTTGCAGTGCAAGCATATATTGAAGAATTAACAAATGGATAAGTTTTTATCAAAATATATATCACTTCTACTCAACTGTGCACGAGAGCATTTGTAGAAGCCAACACAGCAATTGATCGTCGTCCTCGGCGGCGTCTTCTCCTTCCTCAAAAATGTCGTCCGCACTGTCATCTCGCTTTGACGGAAGTAGCTCGTCTGTGGTGAAGTGGTGATCACAAGTTCCTTGTGATCCCGACTCTCTACTGGCGCCCGGACGACCGACGAATGGAGGGGTACCCCGATTCCGTGTTCTGTGTCTTCTTTCTTACCTTTTGTACCTGTCGGTGGGGCGGGTTGCGCTATTCTTGGTTGTATTGAGCTGAAGCTTAACTTGACCGTCTTAGGGATAGGTGTTGATCGGGTGGAAATGCCTCACCCGGTCAAACGTAGGGGCGGATCGCGTGATCTTCACTCGATCGCTTGTAACTTGGGCGCTCTCCCAGTGTCGCCTTTGCCATAGTTGATGCTTGACCCACGAGCCTTCTGACCATTTGAGCCGTCTCACGATCTTGACCTGAACCGTAAGGTTTACTGTGTCCGATCGCAGTTGGGGGGGAAAGAATTGACATTTCGCCTGGCCCAATCCAAGGGCGAAGTTAGCAGAGACGTGGGTGACTCACTATTTAACAGGACGCCAAAGATCCTGCTCGGGAGAAGTCATAGCGTGCTTTCCGTTGCAATTTCAATTTTTATAATGTCAATCAACCCAAAGCCAATACCCATTAATATGATTATCTAATCGCTAGATCTGCTGTTGCGTGGCGCCTGTCTATGTCATGTACCTCTTGCATCATGTGGTCCACAGCAGATCGCTCCACAGTGGATCTCTCCATAGTGGGTCGCTCTATCCACGCTCCACCAAAAATTCGGTTTCGCACTTTAGGTGGATCGCGCGATCTAACCTTTGTCATTCTTCCTTCGCGCTTCTCCACACGTCAATCGGTGGCAAGAGGTGCGCAAAAACGATTTCGCTTTGAGTGTAAGCACATGTGATAATGATTTCTAGTAGCTATTTAAATTAGGCTACATCCGTATCGACTTACGACTCTGATGAAGCTCAAGATTTCTCCTCTTGTGCCGAGACATAATCGATTCAAACGTCCTTTTGCCTGCGTTGCGTGCTTCTTCACCCAGTATATCGTCGATGTCCGCATCCTTTTTGTACCAAAGCTACAAAGCTCTTTCAGTCAGAGGACGACATGACGCTCTACGGGCAACTTTGGTTTAATGAACCCATCTTAAAGAATCAACAAGCTCAGCGAGCTTATGGTCCCTGTTCCAGTGGGACTAAACGATTCAGAAAAGCACAGCACAGAATGCATTAGGATAAGCTGCTGTTTTAACAAGGCGTTGCTAAACTAATCTGACGATCACAAGACGCCTCAGAGAGGCACGTGTCTTTTAGACCAAAAGAACTGACTTGATTTTTTTCTTTATCAAAAAACACCTCAAATACACATACTTAACCTAGTCACTAATCTTCAAATCAATACATCTCGCAATACCTCGTAATCAATGATAGACAGACATCAGTCTTTAACAATTCATACGGTGTTCTAATATCACTTTGAATGGGATTCTTTCACTTGTGTGCACCACACCTATTGTCGGCTTCCAGTCGACGTGAAACCCCGTTACACCTTGTGTGCACCACACCTATTGTCGACTACCAGTCGACGTATAATGCCGTTACACCTTGTGCGCACAACACCTATTGTCGACTACCAGTCGACGTGTAATTCCGATACACATTCTCTCTCCAGACGGACGTTACCACAGAACGTCAATAGATTTCTTTCCTTGAAGAGGACGTTGTGTTTGTGCTTTAAACTCACGGTTTGCAAAGCACTAAACACCATGGCACCGCCTCCCTACGAGTTTTCGACACTTTCTTTTTATCTCGGTATTGATGTGAAGTTAACTTTGGTAGTATAACCAATATCCTAAATAAAGAGAGGACAAAGTCCGACTCACTAATGCAAGGAGAAGGCTTCATAATACACATAACTCATTTGCCGAGCGTGGAGAAGTCAACGCGTCTCGGCGTAGCATCAATACCCCAACATGGACGATGCAATCAT